GCACTGGATTCACACTCTATTCCAGACAGCATTCACACTTCACAGCATTCACTCCTCGCAAATGAAAAATCTTCCCCTCCCCCCCACCCCCCAAAAAAGATTCAAACTCAATTTTATGCTCTTTTCTATTCCAGTGCTGCATGAGGTGTTCTGTCTCAGTGAAAGGCATTTATACGCACAGTTCGATCTGTAAATAACTTGGGAACTGTTCAACTTGCATTTTTTTTTGGAACGTTATTTGAAAAGTTGTGCAACAAAGCTGGTAAAACAATGTAATAGGAATTCAACCTACATCAATCACATCCCACACACCAATATACATGTTCTATCCATCAAATATTCACTAAAATCAGATGAGGGAACTCTCAGCTTAGTTTGGGTACAGTGATGGGTTAAGCATGGTGATGGGTTTCCGCGTGTGGCAGACATCCGGCTGACCAAAAAAAAAAGTCAGATCACTGGGTCAGAAATGAAATCCCAATGCCCAAATACACTCGACATCTTGTGTTTAAGACCTTCCCAGTGCGTCAAATTCATTTTTGTCTTTTGTTTGGCAAAAAATAAGGCCTTTTTTGAAAAACTGAATGGAGTGTTATCTGTGAATCAGTGCTGGAGGGATGATTATTGATTCAGTGATGAAACAGCCCACTTGAGCAAGTTTATGTAAAAAAAAAGCCACTGTCAACAATTAAAACGTTGACATTTTGAATTTCNTTTTTCTTGTATTTTTAACCGCACAATGAAGAACGTTAAAGTGATCTGTTGAAAGGCAAACCCATCGTTTCCGTGGGGGAACTGTTTGATTTTGAGGGGTGCGACTTAATGTGACAGGACTTGACCTTGCAGAGTGAGAAGAGTCGATATGTCAAAGGCAGATTTAACACCAGCAGCGCCATTTCTACGTTGCAACATCGGTCACCCATAATAATTTACAGATTGTCCTCTTCGTAGTGTGTCCAGTTCTCAGTCTCTGCCGTTCGTTTTTTTATTTTAAAAAAGAAACTTTTTTTTTAGGGTCTGAGCTGCTTTTCGTTCTCTTTTGATTCACTCATTGTGCCTCAGGTGTTAGGCAGGTGACTTATTGATGCTGTTAAGACACTTGGAGCAGCCCAGCTGCGGTGACTGTGCCCCAGGTTTCCCCTCCTTCTCTCAAAGCAAAGAACTTGGCTTCTGCTTAGCATCTCCCTCTGGCAGCTGAGACAAGGAGCTGACTGTGAGGGAATCTCCTACAGGAATCATGTGTCCCGCAACCTCACAGCTCCAGTGTGCAACACCACAGTGGGGACTCTTAACTCGTTCCAATGAACCTTGGAGCAAGTTTACAGATAATTTTGCCCACAAAATATACAGTCAATTCACTTTACAGTATATCCTGTGAAGCGCTTTGAGACGTCTCGAAGACGTGACAAGGTGCTACATCAAATGCAAGGATTATTATTATTATACCGAAATGTGTAAGCCACATAACAGACCCTGAATGCGCGAGCGTCCTGTTCGACAAAAAACAAGGACGGGCTGTTAATAAATCAGATCATTCGAATCAGGGAAAACTTTTCTGAATTTTGAACCAGATGCAGTTGGGGATTTGCACGTTGTTAGCTGGTTTAAACATTCCCTCTTGACCCAGCGAGTTCCCCTCTGAAGTAGGTGTGAGTTTATAAAATGCCCTTATTGAGCCCGCAGTTTACCCACAGGAGGGTTCAAGCCTTGCAGCGACTCCACGTCCGCGCCACCAGTAATATATTGTTTGCTTGATAAAGCCCCCTCCCGTGTAATGTAGTTCTCTGACCACTGTGCCCCCCTGTGTATAATGCAGTGCTCATTGCATTCTCATCTCTAGCCAGCCTTGCTCTGTGGACCTGAGAGCACGTACATAAAACTGATGGAAGAGGCAATCAAAAGCCTCGCTGTGAAATACCGGCAGATATATAAAAGCGTTTTAATTGAAACAATGTTGGGTCATCCAGAGTCACTATACAGTTACACTGGTGAAACCATCTGCGGGTGGTGGGGGGTGGTGTTTACACGGGTCGGATTATCTGCGCCAGGATTGTTGCAGCTGCACTGCCTTCCTCAGATCTTGCGCTCACTGCGGAACCTCAAGAATACTTACTTTCTTTTTTCGCTGAACAGCTGGAGAACCTAATGAGCAAAAATCTCAATCAGCTCACCTGACCCGACCTGACCCGACCTGACTTTGCATATTGTCCTTAATAAGGACTTACATTAAAGCATTGAAGAAATTGTTCGCTCTTTGGGAAGTGCAGGATTGTCATTGTTTGAGGGCCCCAGTCACTGCTGTTTGTGATTAAGTTGATGTGTAAAGTTTTTGCTGTTTGCTGGATTCAGCCCCTTTGCAGCATTGGCACAAAGTGCTCATTCACATTTAGATTAGTCTAACAGCTCCAGGGGTCAGTCTAAGGTCAGACTTAGTAATGATGTAAGGAGAGGCATGTCTGGGATTCTTACTTTGAATTGAAACACATCCCGAAAACCGTCCAGAAAGATGCAACTCGGGGTGGGGGGGGGGAAAAGGAACATTTTTTTTTAAGAGCGAGCGTAAATTCCACTGCTACCTTAAGAGTGTGTTTTGGTTCGTTTCTGCTCTCTCTCACTCTCCCTCTCTCACATTCTCTCTCTCTCTTTCTCTCTCTCTCTATTTCTCTCCCCGCCCCCCCCCACCACCACCCCATCCGAACTCTCTCTGTGAATTTGTTGACCGGTTCCCGATTTCATAATTCTCCTTCGCATTGCAATGTTTTGGGGGTGGAAAGAAAAGTTGGCAAAGGGGTTTGCAAGCTACGTGCGTTCAAAAAGAGAGAGAGAGAGAGAGAGAGCATCGCAATCTCTGCCGTGAACTGTAGACACGCTGCACCAGTCAGTCAGGGGATGATGTGTGGAGGAGGAGAGAGGTGCCTGGGATCAACCAAAAAAAATAGCCCCTGGACTATGCATGAAAGACTCACAGCGTGGTGGCTGGCACTCACCCTCTCTGAACGCACTCCTGCCAGTTGTGCATGTTGTTTCTCATTTTATTACAATATAAAAAGGCGCAAGGAGTGTCACTTCGATAACCAGCGGAGATTTTACTTTAACAAAAAAACAGGGTTCTCTGTGTTTTTAAAATGCAGCAGGGAAAGCTCACCCTTTACCATGAAGGCACAAGCACTAAACAGGTCAAACCCACGATTGAAGATTTAAAGCATTTTATGTATATATATATATGTTATATATACATTATATATATATATACACACTTGTCCACAAAATATAGTCAGTTCACTTTACAGTATAATTCTGTGAAGCGATTTGGGACGTTACGAAGATGTGACAAGACCCTAAACCAAAAAATGTGAAGATTATTATACAAAATGTAGGTAAAATAAAGTAATCAATGTTTTAGGTTCTCTTTACAAAAGGTTTGTTTGTTCCGTTCGTGATGCAATTTAATCAGACTGAGGGTGGATGCGGTGGTGTGGGGTTGTGGGGGGTAAGTGTGTGTCTGTGTGGGGTGGGAGTGCTCTGTGTAATATTGGGGAGGGGTGGGGGGGATGTTCTGCTGCGGAGGTATATTAATGGTCAGACCCAAAGATAAAGCCACCTTTGAATTCGCTGAGTTATTTCATTTAGTGTTCGTGTTTCACGGTGTCAGGATGTTTTTTCTTCCTTAAAACAAAAAACTTCCTTTGATACTTCTTTCGAAAACCTTCATGTCTCTTTAATTTTTTTTTAAAAAAGGGCACTTTTTTTGTGTTGTTTTGGATCGCGAGTGAGAGTCGAACGTTGCAGCGGTAGGTATTGCTTTCTGTGCGATCAAAAACCTTATTAAAAATCAATGCAGCACCGCGGGGCGGGAGGTGGCAAAGTATCTTCTATTTGATGGATTCCATCAGGATGTGGATCTGTAAGGCACCACAGGAACCAGGATCCTACACTTTCCAAACAGGGATTGTAATGTGATTAATTGATCCGACCCAAACAGCACATGGAAAAAAAGGTGCTGTCAAGATTTTTCAGTTCTAATGCCGTTAATCTTTCAACGTGCCGCATATCCACGCGTGCTAAGCCAGACACCGCAGTGAGGTATTATTACCACGGGCACAGGTTAGGAGGGAACGTGGGGGTGGGAATGGGATAGGTGGGGGGGGAAGGGGAGGTGAGCGAGGATTTTGTGAAAACAGGTTGACTTTGTATGTCTGTTTGCTGAGGGTGACACCTATAGGTCAAAATGTGGAAATGTATGCCACTGCGTGTATCCAGTCAGCCAACTTTTGCACACCAAAAATTTGCAAAATAGATTTAGATCACTGGTCGTAAGCTTCAATTTAGGCTCCTTCCGAACAAGCCCAACGTAACGCTTCCCTTTCACTGCTGGCCCCTCTGACCCGTTCAAATCCAGCGAAGGTGCTTAAGGATTCCTGGGCCCAATCTTCCGTCAAAAGTGGAGCTCAACAAGAAAACCAGCGAGGGAGGGGGAGAGTGCGTGTTCAACTCCAGACGCAGGGAATTTTCCATGTGTTTGGTGGCGTGCGTACGTGGAACTCTTTGTCCGGTTTGGGTACTCTTCACGCGAGGTGATGGGTTTTTGCCGCGTGTCAGGCTGAGCAAAATGAGAAGGAAAGAGTTCCTGCAAAATTGCTGGGAATCTGAAATAAAACCAGGCTCCAGGGGGAAATAAACTGGGAGGGGGTTATTGGCATCTGAATAGAAAGAGAGGTTAGTGCTTTGTGGGTGATCTGTTACCCCCATTCGAAAAAATAATCTGCCACATCTCTGAACAACACTCAGCATAACGAAGGCATTTCATTCTGTGAAACTCTCAATTCGGTGAAGTGTTTTGAGACGTCTCGAAGACGTGATACAGCGCTATAGCAAAAGCAAGGATTATTATTATTATTATTTCCTTTTCCCCGACCTCCTCAGATTGCTTATTTTAAAGTGCACCATTTTCAAAAAAAATTTCTTTGACCTTATATTTTCTTTTCGTTTCTACAAAACAGAGGAAGCCAGTGACGATGTGGAGGGGCCAAGTGAGTCCAACCAGGAAACAGAAGATTCTACCAAAGACAAGGACAATGGGGGCGAGAAGGAACCTAACAAAGAAACAGGTAAGACAACAGGTGTGTGTCCATTGGGTACTCCAGTAGTGAGTAACTGGCATTGCAGCAATGCCAAACCATTGTACGAATAGGTTTCTTGCCTCCTTATGTACCCGAAACAAAGTGATCAATACGGAGTTCACAAGCATTAACTTCAGGCAAAATCTAAACGTGGTGAAATGGGCCCCGTTCAATACGCTCTGGTCCGTTGGGAATCTTGTGGCAAGCCTTTGGGATTTTCTGACTTACATATAGAGCTCCTGCTCTCTCAAGATCAATGGCTCGATCAACATGGAGTTGCTCCTCAGATATTGAAGAGGGTCTGTATTTGTCTTGCCCTACCAGTTCATATCCAGCTTGGAGAGTTGACCACTGAGACTTTACTCATTTTGCTTGTGGTTCCTATCAGATTATCTGCAGTGTGGAGGTAATTGTCACCAGTGGGTCTGTCCCATCAGCATAGATCTCTAACAGACCCAGTAAAGGCATATGTACTGCAACTTTAATTAACCCTGTGCTATAAATATAAACTGCTATCCTGCAGTGAAAGAAAGTCTGCAAGAAAATAGTTTGACCATCTCACTCAAATGGAGAAGAAGCGAAGACTTGGGTGTGAATGAATTGAGTGCTGTAACATTAAAGACACATTCACGTGTATTTTATTGCTGCTTTCATATTGACTGGTGTAAATTATCACCCTTGGGACCATATAATATCACCTGAAAAGACATCAGGGCCAGTTGCAGTCTAACAATGACAGATAGGCCCAGCACAGCAACGTCAGAAAGTATAGGAAAGCAACCACATTAATTAAAATCATCAGTTATTCATGAAACATTTAAATATTCATCATATTTAAAGAGGGCACATATAAACTATTACTCTTTTTAAATGTGATAATCACGCAGTCTTTATTCAGTGACACTTGCAGCTGTTGGAATCTTTCAGTCAAAAAGGATCTCTGTATTAAGGGAGAGGAAAAAATATAGCTTTAAATATCATCACGGTCGTCCGGCCAGAAACACAAGTGTTTAGGATACAATTTAATTTACATTTAAGCGCCTTTCACATCAGGAAGACGTCTCAAAGCACTTCACAGTGCTGAATTGGCACCCTAGCTGGGAGTGGGAGCGGAGGGCGGGTGGGTGGGGGGGTGGGGGAGAGGACAGATGACTGAAAGTGGGGTCAAGGATGTACGTTTTGTGACCTGCCTTGAAAGAGAGGTGGGAGGGAGCAAGTCGGGTAGAGTCCAGGATGCAGTTCCAGAGAGGGCTAAAGGGATTTTGCGGATGTCAGTTTCCATTCATAATGCCGGTCAATTTATAACAATAATTTTCCTGAAATTGGTCTAAAATATCACAGTAGCATTCTCCATAATATGGTTGCTTACTCCAATGCCAGGCTTCCATTAAATTTTCACTTGTGTCTGGACTCATTTTTGCGTTACGAAAAATTATTCGCTGATAACACAATTTCCATAATAACTAGTTTTTCACACGAAATGCTTTGTGATTGCACAGCAATTCTTTCAGATGAAAATTGCTTTATCAGACCATAGAAAATGCATAAAACCTTATTAAAATGATACATTGCTTTTAATGAAATGATTTATGAAGTTTTGTGGGCATTTAGAGATTAGAAAGAATTAGTAAGAATCAAACTAAACAACACAAAAGTCAGATTTTTTTTGTTTTTACCTGCATGCTATTATCTTCCATAGAGCGATCCGCTGAAGGATTGAACATGGCTTCTACTTTAATTCCATTTGCTCCAGAGCGTAGCTTAACAAAGATTTTGATGGCCCTTTTCGTATTTCATATTGTTGAAGAAATTACTTTTTTTTGTTATTAATATTTTTAACCCGGCTACCTCTGAATTTTTGTCCCTTGCATTCCACATGATTGCTTCCTCTGCGACTCATGAATAATATTAGCGTATCTGCGTATTTCATTGTCCTGTGAAAAGATATTGTAAGTTAGCCGAGGAATGTCTGGTCAGCCGTCGCCTCAGAGATGATTTATTTATTTCAGGTGTCTTAAAAAGAAAAAAAACGCCACGGTGAATACAAATGTATTTATAAATGTGTACAGGTGTTGTAACATAGGATTATACCCAGTAACAGCTGGGTCGAAAGCATTACAAGGCTGTAACAAAATTAAGCGGTTAAGATGACGCCATGAACTGCACTCTTAAGATTGTGTTACAGCCTGTAATTCATGCTGTTATTTTATAGAGTATACAGTGTTCCGGGTATTTTTACCCCTACCAGTTGTTACAGTGCTGTTAAAAACCTACACCTTATGATTGGCATTGTCGTGCTGTTGTTCCGAAGTAGACAGCATTCACACAAGTTGGACAGGGTTTGACCACACCAGGATGCAGCTACTACACTGCGAAGTATCTCTCGGTACTCTCAGTAAATGTGGACTTAGATTCGCTTGGAACGTGTGCCACTTTTTACACTATTTTTTTAAAAGCAAGATTACAGCACTTCCACCTTACGCCGCACCAACATGGGGTACACTTTCATCTGAAAGCCCCGAGGCACGGGTGCGAACATTCAGTCAGATTTTACAAGCTGTGCAATTGAATGTTTAGAAGCAAAACTTTCGTTAATGTTTCCTTTCACACGTGAATTGGGAATAGTGGACTTTTTTTTTCATTTCCACACTCCTGATTTAAAAACCTGATAACGAACACTCCATTTCTAGCAGTGTTACCACTCTCCCGTCCCTTAGTAAAGACTAGTTCCACCTTGACATCCTTTCTCCCCACCTCACTTGGACTAAGACACGGAGATCATATAAACCTTGCAGATTCACTATATACAAAATGCAGAATCCTGAAGTTATAGCGATAATAATAATTGCATTTGATACAGCACCTTGCACTTTGGGAGGATGTCTCAAAGTGCTTCACGGGTCTTTACTGTACAGTAGTGCGCAGTGACTGTGTGTCTTGCAGACCCCAAATAACTGTTAGTGCTGTGACCTCTGAATCCCTTCGCTCTTTTCGTTCTATTCAGTGACCAAAGTGTTGGTTTATAGCAGCAGCACTGCACTTAGAGGCCTGCTGTGTGGACTTCAAGCAAAGCACATGTTTTATTGCTGCAATTTTGTACATGTATTTTTTTTTAACATTTATATTGAGCCATAGAGCTAAACTATCCCACTACCTTGGTGACTTGCTGTTAAATGAGGTTTTGAGCCAGCCTGTGAATCTAATGCACAATCCCGGCTGTGGATTGAGGAGTCGATTCATCTAAAACGCAAAATGAATTTAAAGGCACAATAATTTGTAAAGTGTCTTTTAAACCTGCGATACAAATAGACTGTCAAAGTAAGTGGCAAGATTATTTCCACCTGGAGTTGGCCACATCACAAGTTATGTTAGCCTCTTTCATTCATTCGTTGCCACGTTTTTGCTATCTTATTGTTGGGCCTGTACATTTTCTCCTGTATCTTTGCTAAGAAGTGTGAGGGAGAGAGAGCGCGAGAGAACTTATGTTTACATAGAAGGTTGATAGAAAATGGAATGCTTTACCCCAAAATAGCTGTTGAAAGCGAAGTAACAACAGCGTTTAAACAGAATTTGGATAAATATTTGATAAATACTAAAGGACATGAGGGAAAGAGCAGGGTCATGGTGGTTTGAGTCAGTGACGCAGACACACTGTACCAAATAACTATGTTTCTGTGATAAACATTGTTTGGTTCTATATGTTCCTTTGCAGATGGCCTCAATAATTCTATAATTGCACTGGTCACCTATTACATAATGTTATTGTCAATGAACCCAATTGTTACCAACAGAAAGCATGTGGAAGAGTGTGTGACTATATATGTGTGTGTGTGTATATATATATACATAATACATATTTACTGTATATATGATATATAACTATATTGTGCACTGCCTTGTTTTCATCCTTCAGCTATGCTGAATTAACAAGTGCAGACCATCATGTTAATTTTTTGGCATATCCGTGTGGAAAATATGAACAGTGCCCATTAACCAACCTATAATTAGTGAAATATGTTCGAAGAAGTGAAAATAAAAATTCCTGTGGGATAGAAACGATCCCCCCAAAGCATTACAGTTCCCTGGCACATTGAAAAACACAGCAGCCTTGTTGAAGAGAGTTTCAGGATGGTTTTTCCTCATGTTCTTGTAGTTGCCATGATTGGGAAAGTTGATGGACTGGAGGCGTGCGTGTTGGTGGGTGTAACAGTTTTTACACTGTAATGTAATGGGTTCCAGTCGCTGTAAGTGGAGATATCATAGTGAGCAGCTTGTGAGAGAGAGGGAGTGAGCAAAGATTTTGGTCAAAATGTTTTACCCACTAAACACGCAGTCAATTCACTTTGCAATATATTCCGTGAAGCGCTTTGAGACGTCACAATGATGTGACAAAGCTCTATATCAAATACAAGGATGATTATTATTATTATTATTATAATAAGATGACTGTCTCACTCCCCTCCGAGTAGTCAAAGGCCTGCAAATAATAATAATCATAATAATCCTTGAATTTGATATTGCACCTTATCACGTCTTTGAGACGTCTCAAAGCGCTTCACAGAATATACTGTAAAATGGATTGACTGTATATAAATGAGGTGCCAGTTCATTTTGAGCGCTTTGAGATATCCTTCCTTCTGACCTAGGGGCTGCGTAAATGTAAATTGTATTAAATCGTATTTCCTCTGTCTGTGAATGAGGTGCAATGTGTGTGTGTGTGCAGGGTGGGTATGGTGGAAGGGGCAGGAGAAAATATTTCCTTTCCATCGTTTCCTCATTGGTAAATTCGGTATTTTCTTACAAACACGTTTTAAAAGACCCCCTGAAGTTCCCCGTCTTAAAATTCCATTAAAATGATTCAGCTGTGCTCGGAATACAAAAAGGAGAGAAAAATGAAAGAAAATGTTCACTCCTACCTAGCAAGCGAGTATCAGTGATGCTGAGAAGACGACCGAGCCTGAAAACAAATGAGTGAATGATGGGAAAAT